TCTTATCTTATCTTATCTTAAATGAATTCCTCATGACAACAGCCAAAAATGGGAAAAAAAATCAGTTGGCCAATGAAAAGCATATCACATGTCATCTGAAATCACTGTATTGATTGGTTATTGATGGTCACCCCCTGCAGCACAACCCATTTGGCACGGCTGGCTCTCTGAACGCAAACGACCGACAGCAAGCTGGAAACCAGTCGGTCTGTAGCCTGCAGGCCTTCCTCCAGCTGGCAGCTCAGACGGGCAAACTCGTGATCTTCGACCTCTATCGGCCACCCAGAGATCACCCTTTCAGAGACACCTGGATCCAGCGCACGCTCGAGGTCATCCAGAACGAATCATCCATCCATTCCTCACAGGCGAGGCTTATTTATTTCTCTATCACCAGACTCCACTGTGAAATATTGTAATTTAGCATTTTACCGTTTGAAAAGAGTAAAGAGTGCAGTTACTGTGAGTGAGTAGTAGGTAACACTGCTTGCGTGCCATATCTAGGTGCTTTGGCTGCCATCAAATCTCAGAGCTCTGGTCCAGGAACTCGATCCTGAGCTCCAGCAGACTTCAGGCAGTCGGCTCCCTCTAGAGGAGCTCCAGAGTAACCACATCGTCAAACTCAACCTGGACTACACTTCCATGTCTGCTGAGCTCATCAGGTAACACAAGTGTGTGTGTGTGTCTATACTGTCCTCCTCCTTAGTTTAGTAATATTCATGACTTTCTCCTCTCCTGTGTGTAGGGAGTACACTGCAGTAAACATCACCACAAACTTGTATGTGATCAGCCAGCCGTGGCTCTACTCTCTAGCCTGGTGTGCTGGAGTGCATTCAGTCACCACTAACGCCCCCCAGCTGCTCAGCACCATCAGTTCCCCTTTGTTTATCATGGTGAGTTCAAGCAATGCGCTTCATGTCTGACATCGACCTGTTCTCTCTCTTTCTTACTGCAGATGCTTTTATTTTGAAACACTTGACCTAGTGATGATACCATATAGTTAGGAGTGGGGAGTAAGGGTATCAATTTTGAGGTAGTTTGGATGAGGTGCGGTTGTAGTATCATGTAGTGGGGCTTTACCTTTTATGGTCCAAGCTGCTGAAGCAACCTACCAAATCACATCAGTCATCCAGCATAATCAGGGATTAAACCAAACTCATAGCAACTCCTATTTAACCTTCAGTAGTCCGGTTTCTGGTTTTAATGATTATTTTACCCTATTCCTGCTTGTTTAATCGATTGCAATTTTTAGGTTCTAATAATTGTTCATGCATGCGTGTTTTAAAGTATCCTGCGGTTGAGTGTTTTATGTTTTTTTTTATCTGTAAAAACACAACGTACACTGTGTATATCGTGAGCTTGTGCTACATAAATAAAGTTTTGCTTGCTTTTGTTGTTACATTTGTTTCTTATATCTGTTTTAATACATCATTTAGTCATCTAAAGCACTAAAACACATCTGTAGCATGCTAAATTATGTTATAATACACATTGTTACATATCATTGGGCAATTCTTTACCAGAGAGGTGTTGAAATCTTTTCAAGTGTGTTCTCGGCTTTGATTAACTCTTGATATTTCTTTTTATAGTACTACAGCCGGCAGGCCTCCTGGTCGATTAAGTGCTTGGTTACTTTAACTTGCAGCACCATCTTGTGGTAGAAATGAGTGCTACAAGCTTTATCAGGGAAGCTTTTAAACCATATTTAATCACAGGAATTTGCAGTAATTATCAAGATGATAAAAGGAATGATAAAATGAACTGTGGTTTTATCTGTTACCTTTTTATTATTGTTTCATGTGTGAAAGATATTAATATTCACCTGTTCACTTCCATACGGTCTCTTCTGATCTGCTTCTCAGAGTCCCGATGAGTACAAACTGATGTGGATTCTTACTGATCTGATGTCCTTTGTGCTGATCCTCCTTATCTTCTTCTTCCACAGGTGGAAAACACACACACACACGCGCACACACACCTACCTCGCATCCAATACATCCAACCTGTATTCTGATGTAATCGCGATGTTTCGCTCTCTATCAAGATGAAAATGTGTTTTCAGATGGAGAGAGAGAGAACTGGCCTTCTGCACGGGCAGCAGGATCAAGTTGGAAGGTGGCACTTACAGCAAATTTAAAAAGGGTAACTTACCATAAAATAAACGTCAGACTTAAAAAAAACAAACAAACAAAAAAAAAAAAACTAGAAGAAAACTGGAGTCTAGATATGTGATGCACACAGACATTTTCATCTCTAGGCTAAATTAAAAGCACCCCATTGAGAGTAAACAATGATTTTTTTTTTCTGTACTTATATAAAGAATCTGGTGTTTAAAACCCCATAAATACATCAAATAAAGAATCAACTAAATGGAAATATAACCATCAGATTGGTTAAATTTCTCAATAAAAAATGAATTTGTCATGAACTATGCACTTTGTATTTATACATGTAGAAAATGTAATATAGTATATATTGGGAAATTGCCATTATAAGGTTGTTTACAGACTTAAACTGATTTATTTTCTTACAGTATAGGTTTTCACAAAGATTTAATTATGAGATGAGGAAGTAGACGTACACTGTAATCAGTGCAAAACAAACAGGTCTAACATCTTATTTGCAATGCAAATGCAATGATTATAAATCAACAATTGTTTTTCACAGTTGTAAAACATTTTTGGGGAGTCCTGTGTTAATACAATGTGATGGAATTAGTGTGATTTGTGATTATTTCTCATCTACCTCCTGTAGTTTAAGGAGCTGGTTTGATATTTCACACTGAGGACTGAATTAGAGGACTGAAAATGTTAACAAGCAAAAACAAAAAAGAAAAAAACACAACCGTGTGTGTGTGTGTGTATAATGTTTCCAGCTTGTGAAAAAAATGAGGATTTAAATTTTTTTCATGGGGGTGTTTGAACTTTTGGTCAGAAAAACCAAAACATCTAAGATGCCACCTTAAATTATAGAAAACTACTTTTACATTTTTAATTTATAGTTAATTTTATAGTTTAATACACCCTTTAATAACTCCATGACCTTATCTATAGCATCTTTCATTCTATATGAAGTCAATCAGTACCTCCCATCTGAACCCCTCAGAATCAGCTGATTGGTGTTTTTTTTTTATGACAACTTTAGTATATTTAATGAAGCCACACAAACTTTTACCTTCATACTAAGAAAGTATTCCAAGAACACAAGGCTGGGTTGGACTCATTTTTATATTATTCATGTTTTTCCAGGATTTTTTGGAGCTCTCATAACGTAAATATGGGAGATATCAATATGAAAAAGTTTTTTTTAGGGCTAAAAAACACAGTTTAAACAAACAAACTGCAGATAAATCAATTCCCACTGCCACAATATGTGTATCATATCCTGAGAACCTGCCTCTTTGAAGCTAAAAGAGGGCACCCAAAAACATGAGTATCATTGGAAAAACCAGCATGTCCTCTATAGAGCACATCATCAGGACTTATTAGGGTAGCTTAATTAAGTCAAAAGATATAGACCAAAAACAAATGTTCATTACAGCGGATATAAATGAATAGGACTTGTCTTATGAGGATATAAGTGCATAAAATTGCCATATGTAGCAACTTAACTTAAAAACTGAAAATTCATATATGCAAATGGGAGTTTCCAGAAGGATTTTTCTGGTCCAGGCTTTATGGGGCTAAAAACCCAACATTTTGACTTATGGACAGCTAATTTTTCTTTCTTCTGACTATATCTTCTCTCTCAGAGCTGAGTGATATCTGGTCGGTCTCCAGTGGGAACTCAGCAGCGGAAAGGATGCCCAGCCTGGCGGCTGTAACAGAGCACTAATGTCTGCTGAGCCTTCGAAGCCCAATCACACACTGCCAACCTCGAAAAACTGTCTTAATGAATTAAAGTGTCTGAAACAATGCTTCACTCTTTATTTATCTGGTTTAGCGTTTTAAATAATTTTACGTTAGACTTAAAATGATTAGCAACAGCTAGCAGCTTAGTTTAGCTTAGCACAATAACTGGAAACACAAGGGAACAGCTAGCCTGGCTCTGGCTAAAGCTAACAAAAATCCAGTGTCTTATTAGATGGCACTTGTTAAACCTTTCCCACAGGGGCCGTTTTAGTCAACCTGATTTTATATTCCTCTATTTAAATTAATGAGAAACTCTTTATATTGAGCTGTATTAAACAGTGTCAAATAATCAGGCGCGCTAGTAATGTAAGCCAAAAGCTCAGACTCCAGAGCGGTTAGCTCAACATGCTAACTTTTTTTCAGTGGCAGAAACAATCATCGATACTAATTTGGTTATCTAGATTCTAGGACACAAAAGGTAAGCCCACCTGCTGTTCAAACCTTCTGTTTGTCTTAGGAAGCCAGTCAGAAGACAGTTGGCTTAAATGGGATGAAGCTAAAACGGCATATGAGATGTTTTAACAGAGTAACTACAACAACAACTAAACTGTGGAGCTGAAAATGAGCCAAATAGGACCACATTATAAAAACTTGGACTTAAGCAATTTACAGGTAATGAGCATTAACTGAGTAGAATATACATTGTTAAGAAGCGCTAAAATATTATGGAGAAAATTTTGTTTCAGAAGTGTCACAGGTGTATGGTATGATTTTGAGTGCTTATAATTGCCTGTTACATTTCACAAACAACCATTTTAACACATTTGATTATTTAAAATGTGTATGTTAGAACCTGAATAAATACTGATAATGTATGCACACATTTTTAAATTAAACATCACAAATAAGATCATTTTTGCATTCAAATAGCTTTCTGTAAAAAGCTCAATCTTTGAGTATACCTATTTGTATTTGTAAGAGATTACTTTTAATTAAAATGTTGCAATTTATACATGATTGTAAGGATATAGCTTACAAGTAAATATCAGAATGAAAGTTAATTTACAGCTGGTACTTGGATGTCTTTGATCATGCAGGAAAAATTCTCTGGCATCTAAAATCTCATGTTGCAACCACACAGGACTCTTTGGAAAATGTTATTTATTATTTCTACAACATAAGATATGTGGTCATATGGATGAAATAATTTCTGCTTCATAAACATCATCCAGAACAAACATAACTCTGTTATGATTTACAAATTAATACTAAATTCATATATTAAAAAAGGAAGAGACAAATACGAATCATTTACCAGCTACAGTACACATGGAGACACTGAAAAAAAATCCCTACTGGATACAAAGAGTGCTTGAACTTTGTGGCACACACATGGGATGCTAACGATGAAGTAAAAGCAACATTACTCGTATTTCCTCCACATCAGTGCTATGTTCAAGTCCAGATAGTGTTTACAGGTTTGGAGATTGTTCCTGATGTGGTTGAGGTTGACTGTGAAAATTGGCAAAGTGTAACAAATCGATCAAATCAAAGAAGAAGAAAAAAGGAACACATCTGAAATGTACAATTTTTTTTTCTAAATGTCATAACGTTGATTTAATAACCTTGGGACAACTGTAAGCATAAATAAGAACACTACCTACAAGTTAAATAAACAAAAAGAACCAGACGACTAATGTTATGGGGAGATGTTGCTTCAGATAGCCATAGTTAAAAGTCAGGGATGAATGAAGCATCACAGAATCTCTTGGGATTATAAAGATTTGGGTACAATAACGGCACAAATTAATCCATTAATTCAAAAATAATGCAGCATCATTTTGACTTGACCTGCAGTCAGTCCGGTGGGGTTCCAAAGGTTCAAGTAGAGTCATCATTGATATTTATTAGTCCTTTATTTATCTAAAAAAAATCTCATTGAGATTAAAAATCTCATTTCCGAGAGAGACCTGGCAAGTCTTAAGTCTACAAACTTGTGAGTTGTGTAAATATCAGATTTCTAATGTTATTAGTCTGCCTAAAAACATTTTTTGTGATGAGGTTAGTGGCATTTTCTTTTGAGCCAACACAGACGCTCTGAGGCGGAACACCTTTTCAAATTTTGAATATGCAGATAAAAAAAGTAGCTCCAGAGAAAATTCTGCTCAGAAAAGGTTTGGAAACGCCCCTAACGTCATCAGAAAAATATTGTCATGACCAAACTAGAGATGCAGGGGTAAAATTTGGCAGTTTTTCTGTGAGAAATATCATTATTGTAGTATTATTGAAGGGTCTGTACCTTACAATATAAAGCGATTTGAGGTGAGAGTTGTTTATCTAAATGAACGGAAGTGAATTTAGGAAGTATATTACGATCCTTGAATTTTTCAATGGAAAACAGACGGTGAGACTGGGAAATTTTCTTATATTGGATCATTTTTTAAATGTCTGTGAAGATTCTCAGTCATCCAGGTCATCGTAGTTTGAGGAGCTTGAAAAGCATCTGGAGAAACTTAAAGTCCAGATGCTTTTCTTTCCAAGCTCCTTAGATCAGTTTCTAAAGAATGAGTCTAAATTGTATAAATGGGAGTTTGTTCATGCCTTTAGGATTCTAGTTGAACTTTTATGCCATTTTATATTCTTAATGAATTATAATCAAGAATATGATCTATAAAGTAGAAGCAATTCAAAGATCTGAAAAATAACAACTGTTGATTTGACACAAGAAGTGTGCACGCATAAATCTCGTGCATACCTCTCTGCGTAAATATCACCAGGTCCAACATAGCAAGATTTCTTTGAGACTTTATGGAAAAGTGACAAGGATGCTTCTTCAGATTTGAAACCGGCATGTTAAGATGGAGATTAATAGGACAGAAAATGATCTAACTGCTATTTCTTTTCTAACAGAAACACTAAAAATGACTGGCTCCAGATTTTAAATGTAGTGTTTTAAGGATCGGTTCATCGATGATGCCAAACAAGACATTTAACTGTGCTCCCCTAACACAGTCAAACGAGAACAGTTGCATTCATCACTTTCAGCCTATGTAGGACCAAGTTCCTACTTAGTGACACTTTATAAATACAGGCCCAGCTGTTTCAGTGCAGATGTTAATAGTATAAAAATCTTTTTGCACACTTCAGTCAAGACATGTGAAAAGTGGTTTCATTGAAAGTTGAATGTGTCACACTTTACAGCACAGAGAATAAACGTCACTGCTAATCACTGCAATTACACAAAGTCCAGCTTCAGGAAAAAGTCATTTAAAGGCAGCGGGTGAGTTTTAAGACAGGACCGATGTTATAGTGTGAAAACATTAGAGCGTCACAGTCAGCCATTAGCGCGTTTTTTACATTCTGCCGTGTGGGTGTTTGTGTCCAGCTTCGATCAAATGGGATCAATGACTTTCCAGCCTTCTGCTCACTTGCTGTTGCCCCGGGACGTTCGCTGTTTGGTCATCGTCGTCAGCATCTGGCTGATGTAAGAGGTCAGGAGGTCGTCCATTTTGTAGCCCTGATGGATGAGAATACATTAATGATTGCTTTGTGGGATGTGCGGCTCTTTTCACTGTATAAGGATCTATTATTATTCACACAAGATCACTGATTTGATTTTCTCATAAGTTTTCCTGTGACGTTAGAACTGTTACTTCACCCCTTTTCTCTGAGCTGTAATCAAGTTTGAAGTTAAAAAGAGAGCACAGGTAACCATGCAAAATCGTTTCAGACACCACACTCAAAAAAAACTTGATTACACATGAAATAAATGACAGATTCAAATGTGAACGCAAAGATTTTGCTTCCTGCAGAGCGTAATCTTGTTGGTGGAACACGTGATAAACGAGAGAGTCTACAGAAAAGACTGACAATTAAATCTGCTGGCACGCTGCTTTCACTGCTCAGGCTGTGCATAATCACATTAAAAGCAGCTTTGTTTGGAAAGCTAAATGCTCACACTCTTTGTTTCATGTTACAAAAACTTAAGAGCTCACCAGGGACGTTTCACACAGCAGCTTGCTGCCTCGCACCAGGTTTCCAATGGTGATGTGAAAGTACGTGTTGCCGCTGCTCCAGTTGGAGATCTTGGTGAAAGGGTGAGTGATGAGGATGTCCTACAGGAAATTTTGATAAGCCGGATAAGAGAATAATCCAGTGCTAAACTTCACATAAAAAACAAATATTTGCAGGTTTAAATCAAAAACTAATTGCGAAAAAAAAGTGCTTTGAGTGCTCAGATATTTAATTCAAAGGAACAGTTGCCTCAACGTGCTTTATATTGTAAGGTAAATACAATACAATAATACAGAGAGAAACTACAGTAATAGAAAAAGGCACCAACAATCAGAAAAGCCCCTATGAGCAAGGACTTGGTAACAGTGGGAAGGAAAACCTCTGTTTTAACAGGAAGAAACCTCTGGAGGAAAACAGGCTCAGGGAGGTGCATCTATCTGCTGTGACCAGTTGGGAGTGAGGGGAGGGAACAGAGTAGCAAAGCGCTCTATCAATACAGATCGATTTAAATATCAAAGATAAATGTGTTCCACCTTAGACTTGGGATCAATCAGACTGACTCCATGTTTGTTGATTGCTATCAGGAGGGTTTCTGGGTAATTAGGATCAGTTATTTGCTGCAGAAAAAGCAAAACGGAAAAACCAAAAATGCGAAGTTTGTCACAGTGATGTGCTGCTTTTTTAAAAGTGAAAGAAGATAAAAGAGCAGGAAACAGTGAATGCAGAAGTTCCAAGCTTTCATAAACTAACGAGTCTCTAGCGTCTTTACCTTGACTTCGAAGAAGGCCGAACCAAACGTGGGCCACTTGTAAATGATTTTGAGGAAGGAGAGTTTGGCTTCTTCCCGAGTCTTCCCTGAGTGCTTGTTGAACAGCGACACGATGGACTGAGACACACAACAACAGGAAGATGAAACACTCATTCACTCTTTTTGCACACAGACTTGTAAGTGATTACCTGTAAAAGTAGCAAGCAGCTGTGGGATATGTTTTGGATTTTAATGTTTTCGAACTCCTAGAGAGCTCTGAAAACAGTAGAGACTCTTTTTGGGGTTTGGGATGACGTCAGAGAGACAAGCTGACGTGCTGCTACAGATTTAAATCTCTGCATATCTCCTGGTGATTGTCTCGAGTTCTTTTTAATCAGTACAATCAGCACACAACTTTTAGTTTGTTTCAGTTTGATAGATCATTTTAACTCATTTGAAACTTAAGTACCTACGACTGATTAAGGAACGTGTATTTAGCAGCATGGCTCAGGCCGAGACTCCTTTTTCAGGCCTCTAAAAATAACATTTTTCTGAATCCGGTGCTTCAAAGGATCCTATAAAAACACATGAGGTCGGCTCTTTTGCAATAAAAGCTCCTGCATAAAACATCTGAGTCACCTAGAAGTTTTAATGTGCGACTAAAAGTTTTTGTCTCACTAGATTTCCACGACAAGTTCAATCTAACTTTAGTGTTTTTTACTTGTTGGTTAAAACTTTAACTGCCTAGCATAGGAGCCAAAAAGCACCAATCGCCAGACCTTATTTCTGGATTTTTGAACGAAAGCATGAAAACATCTTAAATATGTAACTAGAGAAAGAACTGTGATCACCGAGGAAAGGTTATGAATGAATGAACACCCGAGGATTAAATCCAAATCTGATGTTTTGAATTCTGCATCTGTGGCAACAAACTGAAGAGGAAATTATTTTTGAACATAGTCATCATTAGCCTGAGGCCATTCCTGCATCCAGACATTCAGTTTTTTACCATTTTTAAATCTGCGCGTGCTCACCCGCTTCCAGTCGTCGGGGGACAAATGTCTGATCTGGTCCTGGGGGACGAGCTCCTTCAGGATCTTGGAAATATTGTGGAAGTGGGATTTATCCTCCTCAAACTTCACCCTGTAGATCAGCGCTGCCAGCTGGTGTACCTCCTCCTTTGAGCACTTGTGGTAGCCACGCAGATACTTCGGCAGCTCCTGCAGAAAAAGACAACAGCTGGTAAGAAACCGATACCACACACAGATTTTCTTTTTTGAAGCTTTGCACAGCTGGAGGGAAGATAGAGACAGAGAGCATGATTCAGAGTTTAGTCTACACCATCCATTCTACATCAGGCAAGTTTAAAATGTTTTATCTCAACATTTAATCAAGTAAGAGTAACCAGATATACTGATACTGCAGAGGGACTAACCTGGTAGTAGTGGAAGATGGAATCAGCCATGGAGTCCTTTCCAGGAAGTGTATTAGTCCACAGCTTCTTCATGAAGAACACCTGGTAGGTCAGAGAAGGCACTACACCTGCACACAGCACAAAGGTGAAAAGACAAACTGGTAAAGAAAGAAGAATCAGCGAGAAGATCAAAGATAATCTGAGCTTCAATCTGAATCTGATCTGATGGGCTTTACCATCTTTTACATGTCTGGCTTTCTTGATCCAGTCAGTCAGGTGCCTCACAAAGTCAAAGAAGAAGTCGCCGTCAGGCACGCTGATGACCTGGAAGTAAGTGAAGGATTTAATTGTGTAAAGAAGATCCATGTTGAAGGGCTTCAATGGTAGGCATGATCCCTTTTTCCTCAAAAATAAAGCTATTATTCAAAGTAAAAAGTTACGACTACATGTAAACTAATCACACGTACAGGCAAAGTCTGTACAGATGAAAGTAAAGCAAAAAAAAAAAGTTAAATAAAAATAATTACAAGCAAACTGAGCAGTAAAGGACAACCTATGAATACCCCCCACCCAAAGAACAAACGAGTACTGAGAGCTGCAAAACCAGCGAGAGAAAAGCAAAATGACCTCAGACTGAAAACCACCTCAGAATGATTTCCAGAAACAAATCCACACCACCGAAGATGAAAACTTATCATGCAAACAAAAAACAAAATATAAACACAAAAGGAACCAGGAAGTCACGGACTAACAAGAAATCAATTAACTGATTACAGAGAGGTGGTAGAAGAACTTAAAAATCCAGAACCACTGAATAAGTAAATAACATGACTACAAACACACAAAAAGAATGACTAACAAATACAAAATAACACACAAATCAAACATCTGCAACGAGACCCAAAACAACCAAGAGAAGACTCACAATTACCACAAAACAGGAAGAGGGTCAAACCAGTGAAAATAGGATGCAACATAAAAACAAACTGACTCCAAATTAATGAAAAATGACTAAAAATGTTACTTTTTATGAATCTGAAACAACAAATTCTTGGTAGAGAACCAAACGTCTACCAGAAATATGACAGCAGAGAGAGCAACAACTACAAACAGCACAACAGGAAAAGAAAAGTCATCAGCATAGAAACAGAAAACTATGGCTTTTTTTGTCTAATCTGTCTATTTGCTGCCCCTGAGCTGAGCTTGTAGTGAATACGTTTGTACGATCGGGCTGCGGATGAAGGCGTCACCTTGTCAGTGATCTTGACGAAGAGACTGAAGCCCTCGGAGGATTTGAGCATCAGACGTCCGGAGATGTTGTGGCAGAAGTCTTTGGCTTTCGTGCTCGACTCCACCTCAAACACCTGTGAACACAAACATAAACTAAAGTCAAGCTATAAGCAGAATATTTAGTACATGTGCAGAAAAATGTGAACGATGCAAGTTCACTGTTTGTTTAAAGAGGTGGCACGTCTCAAATTACAGTTTTTTCCCCTTAGTGTACAAAATGCACAGTTGTAAAATACCACATAACAATGTACTTTTTGAATGTTAGTCGTAACTGACCTCGTCTGAATCGTCAGGGAAGTAAACTTTGTGGAAGATTTGCGTCGTCTTGTGCTGGATGGCCTCCACCTCCACCAGGTGAGGAGGGTACTTCCTTGATCCGTTTCTAGCACAAAGGGCAGTGAGGATGAATAATGAATAAAATATAATAAAAACAATTACTAGGGGTAAAAATT